GCAAGGCTGAAAATAAAAATTTAGGAGTACATAAAATGTATGATATGTAAAGCTATATATTAAAGTTTATAGGGGCGCCTGGGTGGCTCAGTCGTTAAGCATCTGCCTTTGGCTCAGGTCATGATCCCAAGGTCTGGGGATCGAGCCCCGCATCGGGCTCCCTGCTCAACAGGAAGCCTGCTTCTCCCTCTCCCATTTCCCCTGCCTGTGTTCCCTCTCTCGCTGTTGCTCTCTGTCAAATAAATAAAATCTAAAAAAAAAAAGTTTATAAAAGAGTAAATAAAGTCATCTAAAGAGTACATGTAGACAGACTGTAAGAAGACTGAATTTTGTGGCACTTTCATACTGAAAGGCCAGGAAGATAAAGCTGGACAACCAAGAATGCCTGAGAAAGAGCAGCTAGGGAGGGGTATCTCTAGGAAAGTAGTTCACTGTGTCAAACAATGTTGATAGGTGGAATGATGCAGAGGCCATTTGTGATCTTGAAAAGAGCAATTTTAATGGAACCATGGGAATAAAAGTCTGATTCATACAAGTTCAAGACAAAATGAAAACAGATGCAAATGATATGGCAAAGTGAACTACCTCTTTTAAGGAGTTCTATTGTGTAAGGAGGCAGAAAAATAGAAATGTAAGGTTCAAGGATAGGTTTTGTTAAGATGGAGGGATTTTCAAGCATCTTTATATCTTGTTAGAAATTACCTAGAAAATGGGAAACTTAATAGTGCAGGAGAAAATCAGTTCTATTTAGGGGCAATGTCCTTTTTCAGCAGGAAAGAGAGGCTGGCCTCAGGCATTTGATTTCATACTTACTGGACAGATTCAGGTGTTCCAGTTAGCATACAAGACCTTTCTGGAAGGCCACCACTGTCTGCAATTAAAAAAACACCAAAAATATTTTAGGCCAAGAAAAGATTATAACATCCTTTTCAGTAGTTACTTAAAAAAAAATCCTAGTTCTCCAGTCACTCTGAAAATAGCAAAAAGAATAACGTTACCAGGAGCTATCTGTATTTTGCATCCAGATTCTTGTTGTATGCGTGAGATCTGTTCACCACCTCTGCCAATTACTAGTAAAGAAAAAAGAAAAAAATTATTTGGTAAAGACTGTAAAGTATGTTTTGATTGTTTTCAAAGCTTTAAAAATTAGGCTACTTACTAAATCCAACCATTCCATCTGGAACTTTGTATTCTTCTGTCATTACAGACCTGCTAACAAAAGACAAAAACTAACGTTTTCCTTCAAAGAAAGAGAATTTGTTTACATATAAAAGGTAATCTAATAAAAATGGACATCTAATGGCTTAAACTAGGTTTTCAGGCACATATTCATAGTCAAAATACAGCTTGAGTAGCTCAAGTCAGAATCTTAAGGTGACACACATCAAGTGAGGAGGGTATGGCAGATGAACAGTCTGAAGGCATGAACTGCAAAGGAGTTGGGGTGGAGTTCAGGGAATGTTTTTTTAACAATTATTTTCATTCACTTTACTTCTAATATGTGGCTAATTCTTCCCATCCTTCCAAATTACAAATGCATCTCACTCAAAAGGAAAAATGATCATTCTGTATCAACTTAAGTGGAGAGAAATGAATATACAAAAAAAAATATACAGACACATATTCACTATACACTAACTTGGTTGTGTTTTTACAGACCGTTCAACTAAAACTTGCAAAGTACTCTTTGAAAGGCATTTCACTATACCTTTGCTGCTGATGCATCGGTGGTAACTGTGTTCCAAAAGCTACCAAAAAATCAAATAAAATGAAAACTTTAAGTTCACACATATTTAACAATATAATCCTATCAAGCAATACTAAAATTTTTCCCATACACAGAGAAAACACCACCTTTAAGAGTAAAATTTTATGTAAAATACTTAAATAAACATTGACAGTGGGCAAGAAAAGTCAGGGAAATAGCAGGCATCTTTAACAATGACACCGAAACTGTTCCTTCTCAAGGGGCACAAGCTTAGGTTAAAAAATGGAGTTATAAAATATATTGAATATGAAAATAATTTAGCAATCAAATCTTATTACTATATACCTGGCCATAATTGAAGTGGGAGATTATGAAGACAGGAAGTAATATTTACAAAGACATTCATTCTAAAATATTCATGGCCATCAACTAACTCCAAAGACACCCAACAAAATCCAGGCACAAAACCCTGATATTAAAATCCAGTTACTTTAGCTTTTAACCCAATTTAAAATACTTACAGTCATTTTGAGGAGCAACTTTCTTAGCATCTGGTTGATCTGCAAAATTAAGAGCCTTTTAACTTTTTGCCAATAAATACAAATATAAGACTTAGCTAACCAGTGCCCAAGCAAGAATAAGTATCAATGTAAACACTTATTGAAATAGCTGAGGGTAATTGTTGATCATTTGAACGAAAAGTGCCAAAACTTATCCCAAACTCTTAGTAATCAAAAGAAACATTACATTTCTTTCATTCTTTTCATGTTTAAAAGATGCACAGACATTTAAAAAAAATTCTTTTTGATTGTATCAAATCACTGACCTTAATGTATGTTAAGCACTTTAGAATGATACAAGACAAAGTTTTTAGGTCCATTACTAGCAAAATATCACATGCTAAAGGCTAATGATGCTTCCCACTGTAGGAACTGAAGACTGGAAGAAAAACAGAACCTATCAAAATGTGAAAATTTGACATATCAAAGTTGAGTGTATCTGACAGTGACCACAAGGCTATGCAAAATAAATAAATAAAAAAATCACATTACAAGGCAATCTCAATCTAAACTATTCTATTGTTCCTAACCAAACATTTCACAGCATACGCTTCAGCAGAAAAACTCAAAGCAACTACATGACTACCTTCATCTACATCCTTTACACAGATGAATACAATGCATACCTTAGAATAGACAACCTACATCTGAAAGTACTACATTTTCCTCCCCCCTTCAAACTTAAATGATTAAACATCAGAATGTTGTGCAGCAAAAATTCAGACACATAATCCAAGAATTATTTGTGTCCATTTAAGAATTCACTGGTTTATTTCACGTTTACATACTAAACACAGGTAATAAATAAAAATTCCTGCCTTTAAAAGGAGAGGGCATTCCCTCCCAGTGTGTTGTACTGCTCGGACTTGTCCAAGAGCCATCTACACATAAAATAAAAAGAATACATTACATACAACATCTGAAGCATCATTAGCTCATTTTTTTGTATATTAAAACCTCACTATAAATGTGAAAGACACTTAAATAAAAGGAAACCAAGTACACCTGGTCAAAAGCTACAAATACATTCTATAGGCTCATTCAGAATCCTCCTTAAAAAAAAAAATTAAGTAAATAAAAGGGCAAAAAGAAAATGTATCAAAATTCATACATCTAAAACAAAAAAAAAACTTGCAGACTTCTAAGTTCAGAAGCTTCAACAATTACGTTTTTTAAAAAAATACAAAGCACTGTAAATCTGTTTTAAGCCACATTTTGAGTTAAACCTGAAACACAAAACAAGGTACTAAAACAAAAAAAGTAACATAAAAAAAGGTATAACCTGCAACACACTACAGTAGCAAGCTATAGCAACATCAACCTTTAAAGTGAAATCTGAAATAGCAAAACAATGAAAACATAGCATATAAAGATTAATTCACGTATGATGAGAAAAACCAGTGAAATGTCTTCTAAACATTTTATATTTTTGTTCTTTTCAGTATATTAACAAGATGTCTGTGCAAACTGTCAATCTGGCACAATCCTCAAAGAGAGAAAATGTTGTTTTCTACGAAGACAAAACTGGCTGATTGACTCAAAATTTTACCTACCTTGTCTAAGGTCTTCCCCCCCCCCTTTCCTCCTGAGGCCAATATAAACCTTACAATTTTAAGAACCTTATTATAAAAGTAATGTTCCAATAAAAGAACATTTGAAAAATATTGAAAATCACCTTCAACTAACCTGTGTGTAAAACAATTAAAATACTTATGACTATAACTTACCTCCATCTTCCAAAGGTCTTTTTTGTCCCCCATAACCATAGTCATTTGAATTCAGTGATGTACCAGCATCACCTCCAATTTTTGCTGCAATCTTAAAAAACAAAAGCACACCATCATTAAGGATAACATATCTACACTATTCAGTGCTATATTCCCTCATACATACATATGCTAAGTATCAAATACAAAAAAATTAATTTCAAAGAAAAACAAAAATTACAGATCAGTGTATTACTACCAATAATAACTTCAAAGTTAAAAACATAACCATCATCTGGAATTAAGCTTCTGATAAATCTCTGTAAGAACAAAGAAGTAATCAGGAATCTTCAGAATTGACTGACCAACAAATAAATAGCTTTGGGGAAAATGTGGTCCTAATTCTATCTTCTCCATGGCTCTTTCCCATGACTCTTCAAAAAATGTGTTGTAGGCACAGAGAATGTGAACACCTTATGGGATTCTAAGACTGTGTTGTCTAATAAGATAGATGCTAGCCACACATGATTATCTGGCTAGCCCGAATTAAGTGTTAAATACACAAATGGATACAGAAAACTTGAATCAGACATAAGGAGTGCAAAGCATCTCAGTTTTAGCTCGAATTAAGTGTTAAATACACAAATGGATACTGAAAACTTGAATCAAACAAAGAGTGGAAAGCATCTCAGTTTTTTTTTTTTTATATTGCACACATGTCAAAATGGTAATGTTTTGGGTATGCTGCATTAAATAAAATATATGACTTGCATCATATTTCTATCAGACAATCCTGTTCTACGGAAACATGGGGGTGGGGGAAGCCTGGAAGGCTGTACCTCTAAGAAAAGTCTCAGCTACAGATTCTTAAAGACTTTTTTAGAGTGGGACAAATAATTGCTTGCACTTAACTAAACATCATATAAAAAAATAGCAGCCTCAAGTCACAAGGCAGGACACAACCAGTGGGTTTTTACTCCATCTTTATATGGAAAGAGATATGGAACTAATATTGCTGAGTGCCAGCAATAGGCCAAACTCCATACTATATGTTTTATACTCATTTTGTCACTCAATCATCAAACAATCCTAAGAGGTGAGAATACTTAGTGAGATAGTGATCCATTTTACAGCAGAAAAAATCTCAAGAGGGAACTTAACCAGGTTACATGGTAAGTCAATGGTGGAGATGTCCCAATTTCTACATAGCTCCATGCTAATTACTCTAAGGGGGTAATCACCAAAGGTGAGTGATATGCTCATTGGAGGTTCATTAGATTATTCTGTTAATTTTGAGTATGTTTGAAATTTTCCATGTTAAAAAATTACACAGAAAATTCGAACTTCTGTTGCCTAGAATTCCCCCAAAGGGATCCTGATGTGGAACTAAACCAACTGCTTCATGCTTCATTATAATTAGAAAACTGGAAAGGATAAGTATATATTCAACGACTTGAGTCTTAAAATCCAAACATATCACTTAAAATTAAATATATATATCAGTTCCCAACTGTACCTCCTGGGGTTTCCAGATTTCCCTTTTCCTCACAAAGCATATCAGGATTAAATATTAAAATGCTTGATTTAAAAAAGGCTTTGGGGGGCACCTGGCTGTCTCAGTCGGAAGAGCATGCAACTCTTGACCTCGGTCCACATCGGGTGTAGAGATTACTTTAAAAAAAAAAAAAAAAAGGCTCAATCTAACCTTCCTTAATCATCCTTTCACTTTCTCAAAAGCCTGTTCCATGTCTTTGAGCAGCTAATTAAAATCTTATTTCTTTTCTGAAAGGTTTCATCATACCTGAAAACAACTGCTTTTCCACCCCTTAAGTTTTAAAGGCTTAACATCTGAACTGTTCCTCAGAACTTAAATACACTGCCCGGCACTGATTTTAGAGAAGAAAGCATTTCAGGCCAGACAGGATAGTAACTACTGATGATCTTAACCTGTGAATACCTTCTGCAGTTAGCTTTTATAAATGCATGAGTTTGCACAACACCACTCCCTGAACTCCAAGGAAACTCTGCATATACAAAGGATACTTATTTATACCTCCCTATTATCCATTATTCATTGAATAGTTCTAAAACTATCCAAATGAAAATGAAAGCCTGATAATTCGTTCATTCAAAAGAAATCAGTAACACCATTTTAAAATTTCAGAGAGTACAAAGACATTAGAGAAAAGCTCTTAGTAAAAATACTAACAACCTTTTTTTTTAACACTGTGCCCTCCTACAACAGAGGAATTTTTTATCATAATCAAGCTTTGCTATCCTGTCACAAAATGTAGAAACAAACAAACAAAAGCAAAAACAAAAAAACAACACCCAAAAACCCTGCTCAAGTGTTCGTTTTCAGCAGAAATTACTGGTAACTGAAAAGTCAACAATTCTATTTTATAAAATTTTCATTGCATTCAAACATAATGCAGCCTGAATCACTTTTATAATCCAGGAAGAGATTTCAAGAATAACTGAGTACTTAAAGACTAATAGCTGTTTAGAAGCTAAAGAATCAGGGCTGATACTCTTGCTTCATTTTTGTTCTACCAATCATGGAGTCGCAGCCTGATTCACTTCTATCTTCATGACGTCAGGGAGAAAAAAAGAGAGATACATTTTGCTTTTCCAGTATTTCAGAGACAAAACTGGTTTAGTGTGATCACCAAAGTCCTAACCAAAGAATGCCAACCCCACCCTTTGGAGTTACAGCTTGAAATACACAAATATAAATCTCTCAAGTGGTTCCTAAACTAGAGAAGCAATCTGGTGCCCCTGTGCTGAATTTAGCTCAGAGGGTATTTAAAAAATCTGGAAATTTCACATTAAAAAATAAGCCATTGGAATTCTCTGGAAAAATAAGCAACTTGGTCTAAATTACCAGATGGCAGAAAGAGCTAGGTAGTAATCATTTGTCCTGCATTAACAAAGAACCGTCCAGTTAAAAAAGCCAATAGCATCCCCGTTAGTATACAGCTCTCTGAGGGCAAGAGGCTGTTCTTATACCTCCTCCTTCCAAGAACACAGCATAATACGCTGGACAAAGAAAAGAAACTTAAGGTTAGATGGGGATTTTGGAAATATAATCCAGCATGCTTTTACTATAGACAAGGAAAAAGTTCAGACATTAACCTAACTTGTTTCTTCAGTCCAAGTACTCCTCCCTGTATTCCATTTATATATATCAGACAAGCAGCTACAACTGACATATGGAGGCATCTTCAAATGTAATCAGAAAGGGAAATTCAACTCAAAAGCTAAATTTAGGAATCTCAGGCTTAAGATCAATTCTGTAAAGAAACAACCAAATTATTACAGCAAGACATCTATAAAAATCATATCATTACAACAAGAGCATTGAGGCAGCTGACCTATTGGCATAAAAAGTGAGTACAAGAAATCCAGTTTGAGGACAATTTCTGTATTTAAAAATTAAGCCATCTAACATAATCAGGAAATTACAGCTTAGCCAAATAATGAAGTCCAATTTTTAATTAAAGCATGGCAACATGAAGTCTTTCAGAAGTTGTATCCATCTGTACTCACCTCAATTTCCACCCTCTTTCCCCCAACCACCATTATCCTCCAGTGACTTCATTCCTGGGTTCCTGTCATTCCAAAAACTCTCATACCTTTGCACATGCTGCTTCTTTTCTCCACTGATCAAACTTTCACTCATTCTTTAATGCCTTGCTTAAAATATCAGTCCTTTGGCAGTTAGGCACCCCACTCTTTGGTGTTGTGTACAGTGCCTGACTCACAGCAGGAACTCTATAAATGTTTACAGAACAAGTGGACAAATTAACGGTGCCCATTTTTGTCTACTCCTCTCTGAAAGTATTAATCAGATACTACTATTCATTTGCATTTGGTTCCTTGATTGTATCATCACTTCCTAGAAGGCAGAAATACAATTCACACAGTAAAAAAAAAAAATCTCTAATATCTAAGTACAATGTGCAGCACAAATTAATTTCAATACACTGGTCGAAAAAAATAATTCAGGTGAGTCTTTCAACCAATCTAATAATAACCCACTAACAGTTTATGTCATTATATATGTTTCAGTCGCTATTCCAAAAATGTTCAGAAGTAAGAAAATTCAGGTGAAAAAGTTGCAGAATTAGTATTAATGGTGACTTTTTTGTTGACTTTCTGATCATACACAAGTATAGGTAAGTTTAATTATAATGTGTTCACATTATAAAAATAAGAGCGATTTGTTACATTATTATAGAGTTTACGCAGTTTGACTCAAATGATGCTTTAATGGAACTGGAGGGTTAAAAAGGTTAACAACGTTAACTCCTAACGCAAACAAAACATACCACAAAATTAGTTTCTGATTCCCATTCGCTTAACGCTGTAATCTAAAAATGTCTAGCACCTAATATGAAAAATGTCATAACGAGAATAAAATTATTTTGCTTACATACAACTCCGTATCAACACCATACCTTTTAAGTTACAGTTATGTTAAGGGACTATCAAATTAAGAAGCCTTTAAATTTCCTGGAGTAATTTTTTTTTTTTTTTTAACAGCTTTCGTTTGGGAAAGAACTGCCTTCAGGGCAAATGAACGCACCTACGTAATACAAAGAGGTCTGGTCAGTTTACGACTCTGAACAGAGAGGCAGATTCAAACTGAAACTTCGGGTATAATGGGCCTGAAGCCATTTTGAGAAATAAGGGGAAAGGACTGGTAGAACACACTGACACGTAAATCCTGCTCTGAGGAAGGATTCCAACACGGGATACTAGTGCTCTCTTAAGTCTCTTCCTTGTAGATATGAAAGAGAATGATACCGAAAGATCAATTTCGACAGAGCTCGAATGAGCTGGAAGCTGTAAAGACTGCTCTACTGACATATCCCTCTCTTACTATGGCTCCTGAGGACAGACCCTAGTCCTCTCCCAAACTCATTACCAGAACCTTCCACACTATTGTGTAAAAACTAAGCGCGCTTTATCCCATGGAGGAGAATGTTCACTCTGAAAAAAAGAAAATGCCAAGCTAACTCCTCAAAGAAGCGCGACTGCCGCAGAAGCTACAGACCTAAAGCCATCTATGCGTAACACGCGTTGGGGTTTCTAAGTGGCTTAGACACCAAGATAAACAGAACCGAGCTCCAGCCTCCAAACTGTATTACCAACGTGGGGAACCATAAATCTCCTCACATTTCAGAGCCCGGAAGGGCACTTCTTTCCTCTTCCTCATGCGCGAAAAAGTAGCGGCCTACACAGCCAGCGGCCAATTACCATGAGCGTTCGGATCCCGCCGCGCGGTCCAGACTTACCTGCCGTGCTCTCTGCAGCGCATCTTTGAAAGCATCGTTAACTCCTCCACCACCACCGCCGCCGCCTCCACCACCAGCTGAGCCAGAAGAAGGTGGAGGCACCGTTGAGTAGTCTGCCATGTCTACGCTATAGTGGCCGCTGCCGCTTCTTCGCAGAGACCTCTTCCCTCAGCCAACTGCTAAGAAAGAAAGAAAATGGCGGCCGTCGAGCCTGTATCACATTCTTGTGCGACCATCGTGCCGTAAAGGGGCGGAGATTGAAAGGAGAAAATCTCGCGATGTTTTGAAGCAACGAACTGGTGTGGGGATGGGGCTGAAAAACAAGGAGAAGCAGAAGGATGTTGCGAGACTTGTGTTTAAGATATCGCGAGAGTGGGATTTATTTTGGCGCCTCCTCTACGCTCATTCTCTTGTTGAAGCTGTGTTGCTTGTACTTCCGGGGTGGTGGGTGAGACTAGCGCGGTGACCCCGGTTGGCTTGCGTTTTTTAAGACCTGAAGAAAGAGTAGTTGTTTTTTATTGGTTGCAGACTCGGGGCGGGACGGTGGGTGAATTTTGCGCCAAGGGTCATTCTGTGTATCCATAGGAAAGGGAGTCACGTCGACAGGCGTAAGGGCGACGCTACAGTATCTCGAGAGCGCCGCCGCTAGGAGTGTCCCCGGTAGAAGTGCTCCCGGGACGCCAAGCGGAGATGTTTCCGAAAACGTCCGCCCGGTCTGGCGGGATCTCGTCCTGATTTTCAGGGTAGTAAAGTGTCCCTGTATTTTACTTATAGATTGGCAGATTTGTTTTATCACAAGTGGGGATGAATTCAGGTTAGAGGCCTCTTAGTTCTCGAGCTGATTTCGGTATTTTTGTGTGATGTCGATGAGGCTGTGAAATCACGACTGCCCTTGCCTCTTAAAAACGTGATTGTTCGTAAAATTCCGTTGTAACTACACTTAATAACCTAATACTGTATTTGTCCAGGGCCAGTTTTATTGAGGTCATCTTATAATTAACAACAACATCCATCTCTTGACCAAAATTGACTGTGGCTTCCTAAAAGTAGTTTACCCCAGCCCCTGCCTATGAGAACCCAAATGTAATGTTCTGAATTGTCATCGCGGGACTGGATAACTTTTTAAGTGTGTGTATTTTCTGTTATCTAAGTGAACTTTACCAGTTTGGGCATTTTATGTTTTGTGAATTAGGGCTAAAAAAGTACTTTTCCCATTGCTAGTTTTAAGAGTAATTGGAAGAAATGTGTGTTGCGGTCTTGCTGGTAATTAATGTGTCCGCTTGTTCAGGGCCCTAAGTAGGTCAGATAACTAGACAGATACATGCATATAGCTACAAGTGGGCGGTCATTTTCCTCCAACGAAGCTTTTCCTACCGTCTTAACCATTAATAGCTCTGATTATCTTCTTCAGTGTTCATACCTATCCCTTTAGATTTGGAGGGGTGAGGATTTGTATTTGGAAAAGCAGCAAATGTATTGGACTACAGATTTAAGTATAACTGGAAAAAAAAGACTAAAAGCATTGTTGGGGGTATTGCTAAACAAAAATTTTTCAGTTATGTTTTGAGAAAGTTTGTCTAACAAATGACATTTATTAATCAATTGATTTTTTCGTATTTTATTAATTGGACATATACCAGTCCTTCTGATCAACGTAATGTTAACCACAGAGTGATATAATATACCTCCAAACAAACTTTATTTCTATTTTCGTTGTGTCTAAATATTCAAAGTAAGGCCCTTCATCTGTAGTTTATTTGTAGACTGTCCTGGAACCAGGACATTGAGAACCACTGGTCAGCCTTCATTCCTGCCCCTTCCTCTCCATTGGGAAGACCTCTCTACCATACTTTCGTGGTATATTCCAAATTCTATTAATTTTCATTTCTACTACTCCCAAGTTACCATCACCTCAGTCCTGGACTGTAATAGTATTCTACTTGGTTTTTCTGCTTCCACCTTTAAATCTCTACAATTTGCTTTTTTAAAATTATGAAATTATAAAAATATGTAATATACATGTTAAGTTCTCAAAAGTAACAAGGATCCATTACCAGTACTTTTGAAGTTCAAGCCTCTACCTGATTATATTACAGTTGTTTGTTCATATAGCAGCTTGAATGATTCCTTTAAAACAAATCAGATCATCTAATCTTTGTCTTCCTATTATACTTTTTTTAAGATTTATTTCAGAGAGCATGCATGGTGGGGGTGGGCAGAAGGGTAGAAGGAGAGGAAGAAGGAGAGAAGAAGACTCCCCACTGAGTGGGGAACCCGACACTGAGATCTCCATCTCACAACCTGAGATCATGACCTGAGCTGAAACAAGGTTGGACACTTAACTGACTGAGCCACCCAGGTGCCCCAAGTATTGCACTTTAAATCCTCTCTCCTGGAGTGGTGTAAGGGCTACATATGATCAGGCTACTGTCTCTAAATACTCCTCCCTTTCATTCTTCTTCACTCACCTTGCTGTCCAAGATACTTGCTGCCTTTGGGATTTTATATTTGTTTTTTCTTCTGCCTGGCCTGGATGCTTTTATAGACTTTCACATGGATGATATGTCCTCATCATTCGAGGCTCAGTTCAGATGTCACCCCCTTAGGCCATCTCTGACCTCTAGTTGTGCCATTCTGCAATCACTATCCCATTATCATTTTATAGCATTTATCTGAAGTTATGTTCTATGTGTTTACTTGTTTATTGTTTCTTTTCCTTTAGAATTTAAACTGGAGAATAAGGACTGTCTATCTACCATTGACCAGTCCCTAATGCCTAGTCAGCGTTTTAGATATTTGTTCAAAGAATGCATATTGAAAAAAATCTGCCTCTACATTTTAGTTGGTTTTGTGACCTTGGGCAAGTAACTTAGTCTCTGTGTCTCAGATTTCTCATCTACATTGATGATCATAACTTCCTTTACTGTCCTCAAATGAGATATTTGTGAGCTCTTCAGAAACCAGAAAGTGCTGTGCAAATGGAAACTAGTAATAAACATGTAATTCAGCTTCTGGCATTTTATAATCAAGAAAGGATAATCCATGTACATTTTTTGAATTGCAGTTATGTTCAAATCTTAGTTTTGGTAAACCCCAGGATCCTGCTAGAGCAACTGAATTGTGGGAAAACTAATCAGTAACTTTTGATTAGGCTATGTGAGTTCTCAGTCCACTCATTCTTCTCAAAGCCATTTGTACTTTTCTGTTACTGTTATAATTGATGAGATCAGGCTTTTTTTTTTAAGATTTTTATTTTTTTATTTGACAGAGAGAGCACAAGCAGGGGGAGCGGCAGGCAGAGGGAGAAACAGGCTTCCGCTGAGCAGAGAGGCCGACTCGGGACTCTATCCCAGGAGCCTAGGATCATGACCCGAGCCAAAAGCAGACGCTCAAAGGACTGAGCCACCCAGGCACCCAACATCAGGCTTTTCTTGACTAAATTTATTCCCTTTGGCAATGTAAATTTCTTAAAAGTGGGTGTATCATAGCTAATAATCTAAAATTGGCTTATTATGCTTTGAGAGTTGGCTAAATATTTGCCTGGATTATATTTTATAGTCAGACTCCTACCACAGAAATTGGTATTTCATATTTTATCCTTAGGATGAAGCAAAAGTTGGTGTTTTTGAACTTCCAGAAGTATAGTAGGGAGCATTTAGATTTACCAAATAACAGAGTGAAAAGATTAGCAAATGTAATAAAAGTTGGACTATTAAATGCACTGGCAAGTTTCTTCTTTTACCTTCTGACTTACTGGTTACCAAATGACTGTGATTTTTTTCTTAGCACAATTTTCACTTTGGATTTATTAAATCTGTGAAATAGTAACAGATTCTTATTTTTAGCTATTGGAGAAAAATAGTCCATTATGGATTTTACCCACCTCCCCCTAATCCATTATGGCTTTTTTAACAGGCTTTTTTTTCTTTTTTTTTTTTAAGATTATTTATTTATTTATTTGACAGCGAGAGAGGGAACACAAGCAGTGGGAGAGGGAGAAGCAGGCTCCCTGCAGAGCAGGGAGCCCGATGCCGGGCTCCATCCCCGGACCCTGGGATCATGACCTGAGCCAAAGGCAGACACTTAACAACTGAGCCACCCAGGTGCCTCCCCACCCCTTTTTTTTAAAGATTTATTTTAGAGAGGGAGAGAGAGTCCCAAGCAGACTCTGCGCTGAGCTCAGAGCCTGACAAGGGGCTCCATCTCATGACCCTGAGATCATGACCTGAGCTGAAACCAAGAGTAGGATGCAAAACTGACTGTGCCACCCAGGCTTCCTCTAACAGGCATTTTAGAGTGACAGAATTGGATAGGCTTCCTGCCTCAACTTTCTACCGTTCACCTACCTCCTAATAACTCTTGGCCAGAAGGATCTGATAACTTCATGCTATATACTGTGTGTCATTTAAACCAGGCCAATATTTTCTCAGTACACAGTCACAACAGTTTCAGGTTAGATGTGAGAAGAAAAGTTGCCACTTCAAATTAAATAGTCCAGGATGTCATTAGGGTGTTTGATCATTAGGTTGGTTATTGGTTTAATGACTTTTATATCCCTTTTGACTGAGTTTTTAGAATTCTATTTCAGACTAAGGTGTGAATGGAAGCAGTATATATTAGCATTTTATTTTTTTTTAAGGATTTTATTTTTGTGAGAAAAATAAATTTATTTATTTTAAGAGAGCATGTGAGTGCATGAGTTGGGGGGGAGGGGCAGAGGGAGAAGCCAACTCCCCACCGAGCAGGGAGCCTGATGTGCAACTCGATCCCAGGACTCTGGGATCATGACCTGAGCCAAAGGCAGACAACTGAGCCACCCAGGCACCCATATAAGAGAACAAAGTTGTTAACACAAATTAACTGGAGAAAAACAGTTTGACCAGTGTCTGAAACTGGAGGCAGCCCCAGATAGTGGAAAGGACTCTGGACTAGGCCCAAGAGGATCTGTGTTCAAGTACGACCCATGTGCCCTTTGGTAAGTCACACAACTTCC